GGAGCCGGGTATGCCAGCTAGTATAACATGAAATTCAAACTATTACCTTTGCATTTACAACTGGTCGAGCATCAAATATTAGCAGCTGGTGAGTATGTGCGTTGGCAGAAACTATTTGCTTCAGAAACCTGAAAAAACGGCACGTTGAAAAAAGGATCTGGAATCCGGAAATCTGGAACAGACCATTCATCATCGGGACATCTTTTATTCGTCATTCCTGACATCGGTTGCGAACATCGTGTTATGGATGCTTGAGTTTCTGGATGAAGCCAACTCAGTACCTAGATCGACTATTTCAAATTGCCTTCATTTATATACCGCATATACCGTAGACATACTGGGATGCGTTGACGGCTTCTGTGTTCACCAACTCGTTCTAAGAAATCGCGACCTTTATGCTCTACAGCAGCGGGAATCGCAAGCTTGAAAAACATAGAATCGCATCTATGGATATCCTCCGAAAATCAGACTTACCACGCGCGGATAAGTATCTGCAAATTCGTAATTATGATTCAGCTGCGTGATTTCCCATTGTTCGTTAGGAACACCAAGTCGATTCAGTTCCAATTTTGCATCATAAATAGTCCAACCGTCTATCAGCGATCTGGATCCAGTATTAGGCGGCGATGATTCGCGCACGGCTTTTGCATAGAGAAAAGCATAGAGGGGCTGAAGTTAAAAACTCAAGCAGGTAAGATTTCACTCGATTCAATATTTACCTCTTTGTTCGTTATTGGAAAAGCAAATCTAAGTAGAGCATCGAACAATGGCCTTCTACTATGCGTAGAAGGCTGGCAGGTAAAACGTATATGCCGCATATCCTTAACCAAGAAGAAAGTTAATGCAGCATGGGTTGAGCATTCAACTTACCTTACAAGAAATCAGTATACCATATGCATCTTCACCTCGACTCACATTCGAATGTCCAACTTTTTCTACTTTCGAGATACAACCAAGTGGTACATCGAACTGGCATATCTAAGAACAAGCCTATCATAAGACTGAACCCATTTTTGATGTCAAAAA